CGGAAGTTACACAGTAACATGTATGTGGCAACCAATAAAAGCTTGTCAGCTAGTGTTACTTGCTTTATAGGATGATAATAAGTTTGTGGTATTGAGGCAGCATAAAAATACATTTGGAAATTGGAACAGGGTTTTTAATCAGCAATGGATTATAACTAATGATGTATCTCAGTAAGCAATCTTATTTAGCAAAATTACTTTTAATAATGATATACTTGCTGCATGTTTTAGAGTGGTTGATGTAATACTTTTGTGATAAAAAAAGGAATTTATGAAAGATCTATGAATTAATGCTATTAGATCTATCTATATATGTAAAGCAATTATGACACAGCATAAAACAAGCACAAATATACAAATTTGAAAGGTAGATTAACTGAGATACCATTACATGGTTGAATTGGCTTATAGAGGTAACAAAAGTAAAACAAGTAACAGTTATAACAAAGGTAACAGTCAGTGTAACAGAGGTGACAGAGTTAACAGTGGTAACAGAGGTAACAGGGGTAACAGAGGTAACAAAGGTAACAGAGGTAACAGGGGTAACAGTGGTAGCAGAGGTAACAAAGGTAACAGAGGTCAAATAAAATAAGGTCATACTCTTTTTTTTCTTCTGTTATTTTTATAATTTCTTCAAGATGACTTGTTTCTTCTTCAGCATTTTTAGATTCATTCATGAAAATACTCCAAAAGTGAATAGCATCCAATAGAAATGTTGATAATTTCTTAATAGAGCTAATTTTCTCATGGCATTCTTTGTATTCTTTATCACATTGAGCGATAGATTCTTGACATTGATTAATTGATGACTGGAAACTGCTTATTTGATTTTGAACTGATTGTAGGGAATTTCTGGCAGAATTTAAACTATTCTCAGCACTTGAAACCTATTTTTGACAACCAGAAATTTGGTTTTCAGCCTGGTTGACATCACTACTAGCTACTACAGCTCCAGCACCAGCTCCAAGTGCTCCTCCAATCAGTCCTCCAAAAGGTGGAAATAAAAATGTTCCAAGAACTGCACCAGTACCTTGTGCTCGTTCCTTGTCCCTCTTTTCTTTCTCTAGTTTGTCTCTCGCTTTTCTTAAGCTATTGTCAGCATCATGCTTTCTTGACTGAGCATCATTAAATGCTCTTTGACAATTATCCTGATTAACTGTCAGTGCATGCAATTGTGCTTCTAGTGAGTTTTTCTGAGTCTCTTTCTCCCTTTTCTCTTTCTCGTATTTTTCTTTTTCTTTGGTTAAAGACTCAAGCTCTTTTTCATACTGTTGCTCCTGTGTGACAAACTTATCCCTCTCCTGTTCTGAAACCTTAATGAGAAACTCTCCATCTTTTTTAGAGACTTTAAATCTTGCAATGCTGCATCAACTCTTGCAGCCTTGTCAACAGTATTTTGCTCTTGAATTTCAGTAATACTTTTGTGTGTATCTTTAGCCTTTTTGGTGCATGTCCTTGCTTTATATATTATTGGATCTAAAATAGACACCATTAAGCATATACTCATAGTTATATTAAATTAATACCTGGATTGGCATCCAGTGCCATTGGACATATTTTTTCATGATATTTTACACTACATGATAACAGTTTCACCTTGCAATGTTCACATTGTGCCCACCCACCCTTAAGCATCAAAATTTGCTCAAAATAAGTGCACGTTAACTTTATTATTGTTTACCAGCTTCGCTACTTCTTTGCTATGGAGATGCCATGGTTAAGAGGCAAAAGGATATTACTTGTAGAAGGTTGATTTGTATTCAAAGACAACTGATCAATTGAAAGACTATACTGATATGTGTATGCACTAAGAGCACAGTGTGTGAGCAATAAAAGTCTAGAGAGGAAAGAGAGAGGGGATTGAGAGAAAATAAGTAGTACAGAAATCAGCTCTAATGT